AACAACAATAATAATAATAATAATAATAATAGTTATTTGTAATAAAATTTCAAAAAATAGTTATTTGTAAATCAAATATCACATTTTTTAACTAAGAATTTTGAATACGTGAAAATTTTAAGAATATATAAGTAAATAATAGTGAAAAGTACATTGATAAAATGATAACACACACAGTCAGAAACAAAAGAACAAAAGAAAATTAAGGTACTGTAGTGCACCGTATACAACTATACAAGTATTAAACTACTCGAATCGTAGTTGGTACGTAACAGTGTAACAAGCAACCTTAAGCCGCCTTGTTTACAAATTGATGTGAGTTTATTTTATATTTTATTCCGACACTTACTACTCACCATCAAAAGTCATCTCATAGACTGGAGTCATAGATATCCTCTTCAAATACTACTCGTAGTATTAACGTTTATTAATTTAATCCAGTACATATATAAGTCCCCTCAAAAAAAAAAAAAAAAAAAATACATATATATAAGTGACACCTTGTTCTTTTGAGCTGTTCTGCTCTACTTTGCTAAAACTGTGCTACTCTGCTGAAATTTACTCTGCTTTAAAATAATTAATAATAATAATAATAATAATGAATGTGGTAATAATAATAATAATAATAATAAAATAATAATAATGAATGTGGTAATAATAATAGTAGTAGTAGTAATAATAATAATAATAATAATAATAATAATAATAATAATAATAATAATAATAATAATAATAATAATAATCTGCTCTACTCTACCCAGTCCAGAAGCTCAGAAGAACAGGGCCTAACTAAGTAACTCGTATTATTTTAAAATAATTGATTTAGAATCCTAAACACTACTATTATACCTTAAGAAAAAGTTGTTATTTTAAAATTATTACCCCGTATTTTTATTTTTTTATTGAAAAAATATTTTTAAGCTTTTTAAAACATGCATAGTTTTTTTTTTTATTTGCATTTATTACATCTATGTTTTCTGTCCTGAATAAATCATGATAAAGTAAGATAAATGTAACCCAAGTTTGCATTCCAATAAAGACTCGACGATTAATTTCATAGCTTAAATATATGCTTATGGGTTTCAAGTTTGTATATAAGCTCAAAAAGTCATATTACAGAAGTTTCGTTAAGTCTAGATGTGTGTTTTATGGTGTATACGTAATACATTTTCTAATCGATATGGCAGTTTATCTTACCAAAATAAAATAATAACTTTATTTACATATACAATTCAATGATACATTACATACTACATCTCCTTAATAAAAATACAAGTACGGTATACATTACTTCCTAGTAATAATATATGTATAAATGCATAATAAATACACGTATTTTGTATTTTATAGGCCTGGTTCAAGCAAAACCATACGAAGAATAATTAATCAATACTCATGGTGTGTGTATATATATATAAAATAAAGACTATGCCTTAAAGGTCCTTATCATCCAAAAAGAAAGAAAATAATAAAATTTCATAAAGGTTTGGTTAGAGACTTATTAGGTATTAAATTGAAGCGGCGTGGCGGCAGATAATTGCACTATCTCTAAAGTCAAATGAGGACAATAAAAAAAGAAGTTGAACAAGTGAAAATAAAACGAGTACGTCAATTATTATTGTATGGATAAATTACCAACACATTACTCATGAACTTGCCTTTCTCTTTCCTACCAAACTTTCGGTAGCAAATTATTCTTCAGCTGATTTTTCAGCGTAAAATCTGCCTTACTTTTGGAGTGTTGAGACTTGAGATTGTAATCTTTCTATTTAATTAATACGATAATTCTTTATATACTTCCTTATCATTACTAATTTACTATACAGGAGTTCGTTTGTTTTTTTACTTGCAACGGACTCTTTGGGCATGTAATTTTAGGAGATTATTAGTGAAGGTCAACAAATAATTTTATCAAATAATTTTAAGACGATAATTAGAGGAGGCCGGGTTAGGTACATGTGTAGAAATATATTTGTTTACATTATATAACCTCGGCTTAAAATATGTGTCACAAGACTGTGTTATTATAGTTTATAAAAACGGAGAAAGTATTATCATATTATTATTTAAAAGTTTCAAATAACTCTTATAAATTGTCTAGATAATTATACAATATGACCCGAAAATTCTATAGTAAACGTCGCACACCGCTATGTACTACCACAATAACGTACTGTTATGTACCACTAATAAGACTATTTAAATATTTATTTATTTTTTGCATTTTCAAAGCATGGCTTTATTTAGCTAAGATGGTGAGTCGTTTCTCAGATTTTATTAGAGGTACTAGGATCGAACTTTTTTTCCCACAACATTATTATTTTAACACTCTTATTTAATTTTTTTTTTTATTTTTATGCCCACATTATGTTGATTTTTTTCACAATATAAATATTTTCACAAAATCTTGATTAAGGCGTTTTTCATTAACTTATTGTAAGACGAATTAAAGTTACCCTAATTTACTACAAAAGTTACCATTTTTCTAACATAAATTTCACCCTTATAATGTATTAGATTAATCAACTCGTTAAAAATTAAAAGTAACCTTTAGTAGGATCAAAATTACTATGAAACTTGTTAAATTTATCCTCAAATTGACGGTCTTACAATAAAATTAATGTAAAACCGCCTTATACAAGACTTTATTTATTTTAACACTCTCATTTATTTTTTAATGCCCACATTATATTGATTTTTTCCTTCTCAATTTTTTTAATTTTGTTTTTTTTTTCTTTAGATTATCTAGAACGGAGAAAAATCAAATAACATGTGTTTGATTTATTTTACATCGGTTAAAATCCGCCAAAGTCGTTTATTTATTAACACTCTTGACACAGTTTAGTATGTTTATAAATTGCATTTTACTTTAGAGGCGACTATGATAAATAAATATAACTCATCATATAAGTCACATCATTATTAGAAGGAATGCGTAATACTCGTATCCTATTTTTGTTGGCGCATCCAATTAACACACAATGTTATAATTCTAGCCTATTTAGAAATTAAACCTACATCTATATACAAGACATATTGCTCTCCATTTGAACTAATAGGCTTTTACATTCAAATGAATCATTCATAATAAAAACAAATCATTCAACTTTTACATGAACAATTCAATATATATTACACATCTACCCTGAATCTCCACACGGGTACTCAGATAGACCTTAAGGTTACTAAGGTACAAACCATATAGGGGAGATTTTGTCAAGAATCGTGTAGAAATAAGATAAGTATAGGCAAGGTACAATTAAACTCCAAATTAAAGATTTTGATATGAATTTTACCTTTTATAATCATATACTTGTATAATTATTTTCCTAAAAAAGGTGATGTAAAATCACCCCAATAGTACGGAGTATTAAGAAACTATTCTGGCCAGTAATTTAAAACAAAAAATGTTTGTGATTTGTAAGTCGCAACAATCACAATCTATAAGATTAATTGATAAATAACTTCTCACAAAGATAACAGAATACAATTTCAATTATCTAAGTCTCTTGTTAGATTTCGGAAAAACTCCTCCACCTGGAGTATGTACCATTGATCGATATATATAGCGTTTTACAATACTAGTCATAATCATGTTAGGAAACCTAATACGATAAGAATACAAACTCTATACAAAATATATCCTATTTTGCGACAAATATTATCATGAATCTAATATCTATCACACCCCCGCAGTCATAGCGGGAGAAAGTCGTAAGCTAAGACTGAATCTAAAATCTGAAAATAAGTCTCGGAGAAGGCCTTTTGTGAAAATGTCTGCGAACTGATACCTTCTATACTAGGCCTTTTATGTGTGATTGGGTTAGTGGTTTGAGTGATCATGGCATATTTGGGGTTGGGTTTGACAATCCCATGGCTTAAACGAGTTTACATTTGGGGTGAAGAGAGGTTAAAGGGTATTGAGCCAGTCTAGTGCTGAGGAGAGGTGTGGGCTGGTTAGATTGGGCTCGGTGAAGGCTTCCAGAGGAAGTCGGGTCTGATTGTGGTGGACTGGAGTGAGGCTGTTCAGATTGGGCCGAAATAAAGCCACCAGTCGCTGGGCCTGGCGAGCTGGGGCCTGGCGTCACTGGGTTGAGCGCTGGGTTCCTAGCTTTCGCTGGGTTGGGCTGGAGGAGCGTGCCACTGGATGGGACGCTGGATTGGCATTGGGCGCTAGGCTTGAGACAATATGTGTGTTTGGTGTGTATTGTTGTGTGTGACGCAATATGGTGTGAGTGAGGAGTGGAAAAGTGCCACTCTCACCAAGGAACTCGTAGTCTTTTAGAGTGTACCAACCCAAGTTGCGATGTAGAAAGGTGGTTTCGTCAAATGTAACATGACGGGATATGATGACTTTGTTTGTGGAAAAGTCAAGACACCGATAATCACGATGATTAGGGGGTAACCTAAAAATGCACAAGGGGTTGATCTCGGGGCAAGCTTATGCAGAGTAGTAGCCGAGATATTTGGGAAACAAAGAGAACCAAAGACTTTAAGATGGTCATATTATAGGACAATTCTAAAAAGGGCTTGAGCCGGGGTTATGCGATTGAGAGCTTTTGTGGGCAAAATATTTAGAAGATAAGTTGCAAGTTCAAGAGCATGAACCCAATATGACGAAGGAAGAGAGGCATGAAATAATAGAGTACATTTGACATTATTTAAGACACGAAACATTCTCTCAACTTTACCATTTTGGGATGAAGTGTGAGGACACGAGAATCTAAACACCATACCATTTTGAACACAAAAGAGTTTAAAAGGGTCATTATCAAATTCACGTCCGTGGTCACTTTGAAAGGATTTAATTGGACGTTCAAATTGAGTTTGAATATATTGGAGAAATTCCAAAAAGGTTTTATAAGCTTGAGATTTGAAAGCAAGAGGGACAGTCATACATAATGAGTATAATCATCAAGAAGAATTAAATAATATTTATAACCATGAATACTACGATAGGGGAAGCCCATAGATCCGCATGAATAATGTCAAAAGCACAATTAGTATTATTATTAGAGATACGAAAAGGAAGTCTAGTATGTTTCCCAAGTTGACAAGAGTTGCAAAAAGTGGAGTCATGCTCCTTATTACAATCAATAAAATTCCTACTCCTAAGCAAGCTTAAAGATGGTGCGCCTATATGCCCTAGGCGACAGTGCCAAGTGGAAGGAGACACGATGGTGAATGAAGTGGCTAAGAATGTAGATGGATGTGTAGTGGTGATAGGATAAAGGTCCCCCGAACTATTGCATCTCGTTAATATTTTCCCCGTACGAAGATCCTTCACAAAAAAACCAAATGGGTCAAATTCAATAGACACTGAATTATCAAAAGTAAATTTTCGAACGGAAATTAGGTTCTTAATAATTTGTGGTGTTAAGAGTACATTACAAAGAGCTAATTGGTTATTAGGGGGTAGGGTGGTATGACCATAACCGGTAATTGGAATACGATGACCATTGCCAACTAAAATATAATTATTAGTGCTTAAATTAAAAAGGGGCAAGAGAGTACCAGGAATATTAGTCATGTAAAATGAAGCACCCGTGTCCATATACCATCCATCATTCAGGGTATCCAAGGTCATGGTGGAGAACGCTTTCCCGAGATCTGTAGGAGACATGAGAGAACCATAACTAGTTGGAGCCGCCATGTAAGCTTGTTGTTGGGCCTGAGGAGAAGAATTTTGTTGGGCCTGCCCAATTGAAGCTTGCTGCCCATAGTGAGTATGTGGGAAAGGAGGGGTAGCCCAACGTTGAGAGTGGAACCAAGGAGGTGGAGGCCAAGCATATTGGCCTTGCAAAGGTGGGTCGATCCATTAAGAGGACCCACTGTTGTTGGGTGGAGATTGTTGTGAGGATTGAGCAGGTTGGTTAGACTTTGGAGATGGTTTCCCCATGCCTCTTCCTTTACCGCGACATCCCTCACCACCTTTGTCGGAGCCTCGGCCACCGTTACTGTTGCCGCCGGTGCCGCTGCAGGAATTGCGGCCTTGCGGTTGTTGCTGCGAACGCGAGTCTGTTTGTTGTGTAATAAATGATTGGGCCGGAGCCGATTGTTCATTGGTGCACGTCGTTTCCTCAAGAAGAAGAAGAGATCTCGTTGTTTCAAAGCTAGGTAAAGGCTCGGTTTGAGCAAAAATTGCAGCTACGACATCAAAATCCGTGTTGCAAAAACCAGCAATTAAACGCATCACCAACATTAGTTCCAAAACTGGTTGATCAACGCTAGCTAGTTGATCTTTGAGACACTTCAATTGTTTGCAGTAGGAGGAAACATCCGAAAAAGCCGAGAGATGAAGGTCAGTGAATTGTTTTTCAAGATAAAGAACCCTAGTCATCTTGTTGTCTTGAAAGATTGCCTTAATCTTATGCCACACCTGTTGAGCCATATCCCCCTTCGAGAGAACTGTTTGGAGAAGATCCGTTGAGATAGTGCCGTAAATCCATTGCTTGACAACGGAGTCAAGGCGCTGCCATAAGGAATTAGAAATTCTGGTTGGACGGGGCATTTTGGAGTCAATGTAATCAAGCACGTTATATGTGTGAGCATGAACCTCGAAGAGTTCCTCCCAATTAGAATATTGCACCGTTTGACGATCAAGGATTAAAGGTATGCAATCCTTGATGTTGCTCATGGACGACAAAGCAAGGTGGAGATGGGGAGGTTTTGATCAGTGTTTAATTTTGATCTTCTTTGGTCATGGTGTAAAGATGCAGCTGCTACTGCTTAAAGATGAAAGAAGAAATAAAAACAGGATTGTGCGTTTATGCGAAAAACGAGAGAGCATAGATACCAAGGAAAACAAAACGTTAAAAAAAACAAAAATTATAACCTAAGCTGTGATAACATGTTAGATTTCGGGAAAACTCCTCCATCTGGAGTGTGTACCATTGATCAATATGTATAGTGTTTTACAATATTAGTCCTAACTTGTTATGAAACCTACTACGATAAGAATACAAACTTTATATAAAATATATCCTATTTTGCGATAAATATTATCATGAATCTAATATCTATCATATCTTAACATCGATTTCTATATTGTTTTGGATCAACAACTTGTCAACTTTAATTGTTTAAACTCAATTTTTCATTGATCCAAATATAACTTATTAATGAGCTTTGTTTCTATTATAATATATTAAGAACAAATAAAATCAAAGCAGGTAATTGATTGATTCATAATTGGAAACACAAATTAGGGTTTATGTCTTTCTGATCAATGATGGGAGATATTAATACTGAAGAAAACATATAAATTACCTCAATTGAACCTTCAAGCTAAGATTGTTGAAGGATTTTTCCTTCAAATTACAATTTGCTTCGAGCGTCAAACTTGATAAAAAAATTTATGGAGACAAAAAGAATGAGAGAAAAAAAGTGGGGAGGAGAGCGGAGAATCAGGGTAAAAAAAATCATTAAAGAGTTTTTATTTTTATTTTTTACATATATATATGCTTTTACAGTACATAGCAATACATGACTTTTACGGTGCATATCAATACACGTCATGCACTGTAGACTCATTGCAATATAACCCCATAAAATTTAGGAAATTTTGACTTTTACCACCTGCCAATAACCACTTACTGCCTTTTACCACCTCCACATTATAAAATCTTATTTTACTACCACATAAAAAAAAAAAAAAAAATAAAGTTGGCTTTTACCACCACTCACCCACAACTAACGGATTCCGTCCATAAATCCGTTAGTGGGGCCTGCTATGTACACGTGTCACCATATTATTGGGTAAAAAAATTTAGAAATTAGAAAATAATAAAAAAAAAGAAACAAAATTTTTTTTATAAAATAAAATAAATAAAAAAAATCAGCCACCAACCGGCTCCTAACCACCACTAGATCGGCTCCAAGGCTCACCGCCGGTACTGGCGGCCCAGGCAAGCCCAACCCCAACTCCAACCCTAGCCTTGACACCCCTTCCCCTACCAATTTCCGAGTCCCTTCCCTAGCCCCACCGGATTCCGACCCCCCTCCCACCGGATTCCGACCCAAAACAAGGCATCCATGTTGTTTTCCAGATGGATTTTATGGCAGCTCGCCCTAGCTCCAACACCGGATTCCAACCCCTTTTCACCAATTTCCGATCCCAAAACCCTAGCCACCAATTCCGACCCTCTCCCACCAATTTTTGACCCCAAAACCCTAGCCATCGAGTTTCGACCACCCATAAAGGCCTATCCTATCGAATTCCAACCAGCCACTACTAAATTGCGACCTTTTCCCTAACCACCATCTAATTAGAGCCCTTCCATAGCCCCACACAAAATTCCGACCAACCGAGCTGGGGTTGATTTTGTTCTCGGCTGGTTGGCAAGGGAGAACGGGGGAGATGAAGAGTAAATGTCAAAAGGTGGGCCCTACTAACGGATGTATGGACCAAATCCGTTAGTTGGTGGTAAAATCTAATTTTTGAAAATTTTGTTGGCGGTAAAATATAACCTTTTTTTTTGTAGAGGTGGTAAAAGCCAATAAGTGGTTATTACAAGGTGTTAAAAGTCAAAATTTCCTAAAATTCTTCTCCCTCAACCACTAATTGCAAACTATTGGGTGCAACACCCAATATTTCGTGCGGAAACCCTTCCCCTTCAAACACAACTACCCATTCATTTCAATTCTCAAAGAAATGGGATTTTAGGGCTCATAATTCACAAAACAACATCATTATGCTTGAATCAGCCAACCAAATCGAAGAAAATGATGCTTTTCTGATTCAATCGAAAAACCCTCAAAACGAAGATGACGATGACGAAGGTGAAGCGGTGCGATTTGCAGTGTTGTGGTGATTTACGGCTGGTGATGGTGGATTTGGCTGGTTATGCGGTGGTTGGTGGGTTCGGTGGTTAGCGATTTGCGGGTGGTGGGTTCAGTGGTTGGTGACATTCACGAAGAACTCTTCAAAGTTTGGCCAGAATTGTACCAACTGGGTACCTTTTTGGATGTTATCACCGTAATTGTAGCAAGGTATTTTTGTTTAGTGATACTTATATTTTCTGGTTACAAAAAAATCAATGATCAGAGGGACAAGAGAAAAAGAGTATAGAAATAGAGTTTGGTGGAAGTCGGTGGTTGGTAATAGAAAGAGAGAGGAAGAGGGGGAAAGAGAGAAGAGAAAGAAATACTTTGTATATATATTGTTAATTATATAAGCAAATACATGACGCATATCAGTCATTAAAATGAACATATCAGGCAATTGATGTCTGATATCAGTCAACATTATGGACATATCAGACATTAATAAAAACATATTAACCAACAAAAGGAACATATCAGCCAACAAAAGATACATATCAGCCAAAAAGAGGAATATATCAGCCAACAAAAGGTATTATCAACTAAGAGAAGGAACATATCAGCCAACAAATGAAGCATATCAGCCAACAAAAGGATGAAATCAGCAAACAAAGGCAACAGGTAAGCCAACAAAATAAACATATTAGCCAACAATTAAAAATTACATATCAGCCAACAAAATAAAAATATCAGCCAACAAAAGGAACATATCAAAAAAAAAATACGAGCCAATAAATGAAACATATCAGCCAACATATGAAACATATCAACCAACAAGTGAAATATATCGGTCAAGCTTGTTGCGCCATAATTTATGTGCGGCAGTCCGCACCCAATAATAATAATAATAATAATAATAATAATAATAATAATAATAATAATAATAATAATAATAAATTTTGGGGAAAATGAATCTCTATGTAAGAAGATAGACATTATAATTTCCTAGGGACATAACTGTCTTTCCAAGCCTCATATCACAATCAGCTAATTTAAAATGATGTTATACCTCACGTTTCCAAAATTAGTGGATGGAGGGGAATAATTCGTTCAAAACCTCTCACAACCAAACACAAAAATTAGCTGATGGAGAGGCCAAACTGAAGGATTTATGTTTTCGTCAAGTGCAATTACTAGATATATAAATGGATCAAATTATGGAGATAATTAAGTTCGTCCATTTGGTCATTATATCATAGCTAGAGGTACTAACGATCTTTGACTAGTAAAATAGGCCAAAACTCAATTAGACGGATCATATAAGGTCACACAAAGGGTCTAGATTGAGCATTAGAGGAAAAGACCCATGATAGGCCTTCTCCCCTAGGTGGTCGGCCATGTGGGTAGGATTAGAGAGTTTTTAGGCTTCCTAACCTAGTCTTATTATAATAGGATTATTAATAGACTAGGTGCTTAGGTTTTCAACAGAACAATTTTGCAGTTAATTGAAACCCTAATTAGCAAACACGAAACCAACCCTCTCAAACTCCCTCTCTCTCTCTCACGGCTCTCTCCTCCTCCTCGGCGCCGGTGGTGTGCAGTGCTGGTGGTGATCGTGTGTGGTGGTCGGTTGTCCAGTAAAGATGGTCATCGTGGTATTCCCCTTCACTCGACCAATCTAGTATTGGTGGACGGCTTGATCGAATCCCGTGGACTAAGTAGAGGAGTCACGCTTGGGGCTCTATTCTATCCCTAATTTGTCAATCAATTTGTTACGTGGATATCACGCTTCAAAGGTATAATTATGTAATTCTTGTGTGTTATGCATGCAATCTTGTTTTAGGTGCGTATGAATATAATTCAACGCTTGGGGCTCTATTCTCTCCCTAATTTGTCAATCAATTTGTTACGTGGATATCACGCTTCAAAGGTATAATTATGTAATTCTTATGTGTTATGCATGCAATATTGTTTTAGGAGCGTATAAATATAATTCATGAAATTCCACTTATAATACCTAAAATCTTACACAAACTTGTAACAAAACTAAATCCACTATAAACTCTTTATAACCCTTTGGTTACCAAACATGGCCGCAATTAAAATGTCAGACAAAATTGATAGTGTTGTCCGTATAGAGAAATACAATTCGTTTTGCGTCCTAAACCAAGGTATCTTAAATTTTGACCATGAATTTTAGCAATATGCATGAATAAAAAAACTTTTTTTATAATTAAATAATATGAATTTTATCATATTATTCTTGTCAAAAAAATTTAAATGTGTAATTTTTACTTCGTACTAGATAACTTTTTATAATTGTTGTTTGAGTGTGAAAAAAAAATAAATAAAAAAATAAAAAATAATGTTTTACCATTTAAAAAATAAAGGAAATAAGTTGAATTATCACTTACCATATCATTAACAGTTTACCGGATTACATTATTTAGTTCATAGGGACCACAAGTTACTCTTACAAAAATTACTTAGATTCTTGCAAAAATTACTTAGATTTCTCCCCATTTCTTTCTAATTTTTTATTCAACCAAAATTTAAAATACATACACTTATGAAGCAAACAAATAATTGGATAGGACGCGAAGAGATTATATTATTTCATTTTATGATAATATGGTATGCTTAAAATGGGCCAAGTGTTATACTTTAGAAACCCTTCAACATGATTAATAGATATTACTCGTTTACCGTATGTTTACCATACCTTTCAAGAATTCAAGGTATTAAAAAAGAGAAAATACTAGTTTATCTCTATGATAAACAAAATTTGTTTATCACATAGACAAAAGTGTAATATTTACGGTAAAAATGGATAAAATCGTTACTTGAGTTAGCGGTTATGCCTTAAAACCGCTATTTTAAGTAGCATTTTATCCCAAAGCCGCTACTTGAAGTAGCAATTTAAAGGCAAAACCGTTATCTTGCTTAAAACCGCTACCTCTCCGTGATAAACAAATTATCACGGACATTAATTAGGGCCACCTCATTAAAAAATACGTAATACATGTACAATTAATTAATGACAACAAGGCAATGCGTTTCATGAATATGATTGATCTAAAGGGAAGATAATGCTTT